GTAGTTTAGGTGACGGGGGGGGGGGTTCATGGCAAGCGGATGGGGCACGGAGGTGCTGATATTAGGAAGGGACAATGCATGAAAGCCCCCCAGCAAGGGGGCCGTGTCCCATTGTACCACTGTACGCTCCTGTCACTTTCATTTTCCAGCTCGCCATCCCGGTTGCGGCCGGCTTTGATACGGGGATGGCCTAAGAGGGAGGTGCTGGGGAGAGGAGGGGATTTTCTGCCGAGGCAGGGGAAAGTGGGGGGGGGGGCACGAGGTGTGAAACGCGATTGCTTTTATCTGACAGTGCCCAGTTAAATAGGAGGCCAGCCGGGATAACGGCATGGGGAGGCACCTGGACGGGGGCAGGGGGGGCCAGGCAGGGTGGGGGCCACGCCGGCCATGATGGCTATAGCGGGCCGTAGAGGGAGCCCCTGCACCGGGTGGTTTGTGATCACACGTTTTTCCCGGGAGCCGGACGCCAACACCAGTGCACAGTCAGTGACGACAGGGGGTACTGAGCTTGGTTCTCCTCCGGAAGGAATTCCGGCGTTTGTTGAAGCCACAGAGGGCTGGAGCTCCATCCCAGGCCACGTGGAACAAGCCCGACGTGCGTCTGGCTGTTTCCAAAAGTTACCGCGTGAAACGGCGGCACCTCCACACTTCCTAACATCTGCTGCAGGAACTTGCGTGTGTCTGTGTGTGCGCACGCATGCGTGTCTGTGTGTGTTTGTGTGTGTGTGTGTGTGTGTGTGTGTGTTGCCGTGTGTGTGTGTTGTTCCCCCAGCTTGTATAGGGTGACACCTATGGGCCTGTTTGGGCCTCTGCACTCTCGGCAAAATAGGAGATAAAGATGAACTAGAGAGAGAGGGAGAGAGAGGGTACGATTAAGAATCGGAGCTTCCCCAGCGGTCCGGTCCGGTCCAGTCAGGCCGCTCCGCTCCACTATAGCCCGGCACAGGTGTGACATCCTGGCCTGAGGTCCAGCTACTGTGATCCAATCATGGCAGAAAGCATATCCACAGAGCATTGTGGGTACTATAATCAGTTTTACAACTGTCTGCTCATTCAAGCAAGTCTCATAATTAGATTAAAGGAAAAGTTTAATATCATTGTACAAGGAGGGTTAATGAGGACAATTAATTACACAGCAATCCTCAGGCTATTGTCTTTTATATTTTTAAGATTTGGATTTTTTAATGGCATGTTTCCATAGCTTTGAGTGTTCCTCGTAATCTCCTTCCACCGCTTATCTATGCCCACATTTCGTGCCGTTTCCGTTTCCATCCTATCGGCCACTCGTGACCTTTTATTAATTACGACCAGCCTAGCTTTAATCAGAACACCGTACGGCTGCAGAGGAGAAGACGGGTAAGTGCACTGATTTCCCCCACTTTAAAGTGCAGCGCTGTTCCTGGAATTAAATCCCTGCATCCCCACATACATTAGCATGGCTTGGAGTCGGAGTCTCGTGTGTAGCGATTAAATAAAGAAAAAAGTGGAATAGGGGGCTGGGAGGGGGAGACCTGCAGATCTGTCTGGAGAATGTTAACCTGACAGCTGTTGTCCTCAGTTGTGTACGGTGGGGGGTGGGGGTCAGATCTGTGGATTATGGGGACCATTGCAGCGAAGGGTCCGGGTGGCTCCAAAATGATAATGTCGCCTTTTTAAGGTGTAAAACTAACTTGGGGATTATTCCTCAGTCGAGGCACGTCTGTCAGCGAGGCCTTTAATAATTTTCTCCGGCAGTAGTGATTGGGGCTTGTCCGTGAGTTTTCCCGGAAATGCTTATAGCCGTCAGCTTCCGGCACTGGATGCGATAGAAATTGACAGCTGTCTCTGAAGCATTTACAGATGCATGCTTGATAATTTGGAAAAAATGCGGGACGCTATGTGCAAGCAGGCTTTTGCAGACTCTTTTAAATGCACTTTTCACTTGGAGACGGTTATCCCAGTTATCCCAGTTAAATACCTTTATCTAAATAAAGGATCACCCTGTGCATAGAGTGGGAATTCCTTACAGCATAATTTGCGCACCGATCATTCGTTGCCCTAACGAAGCTCTTCCATCACTTGCAGCTCTCCGTCTCCCTCACTGTTGTCACCCAGATGACCTCTTCTGAGTTCAGGGCTGCTCAGTGCAGCTTTATAAATCTGGTTATTAGACAGGGTCTTATTAAGGAGTGATACACTAGCCAAAAGCCAACCAGCTCTTCCTCAAATATAGCTCATAAAATTTAAAGGGATCAGAAAATGGTGTTAAACGTAACCGAATTCTGACTGTATTGGCGCTCAGATTTAATATGTACCGTTGCACATATAGAGTATCTGAGTTCTGGAGCGAGTGTGATGTGGGTTTAAAGGAGCTTTATCTTAACTCGGAAAGGGCGTGCAAGATTCCGCTCCGGGAAAGCTCTTAGACGGACAGCTGGAGTCGACGGCTGGAGGCCACCTGTTTCAGGATCTGCCAGGTCCGCCTGCGGCCACTTTGATATACGACAGTCCCGGACTGCGTGGGAAAACCATCTCGGAAAACGGGAAAGTGGCCACACTTCACACGGATAAGCTGCAGCACAGTGGCGGCACGGCCCGCGCTCTCTCCATATTTAGGTCTTTAACTTTTTTTTTTTGGTTGTCTAATGATGGTGTGACAGTGCTAGCTAAGGGTTAAAGGAGGGAAATAGAAATGTAGTCTTTAGTTACTCCATAATGCATCACAGCACAACACAGCACCGTTGGTAAACGATTCCCTGTAAACCTTATGCAATACATCCGACTCGTAAATGCGGCAGGTGCGTGTTTCATGCGTGTTTATCAATTTTACGACTGCATCCTGGTTTTGTTTTGTTCATCTCTGCATGTAGGAGACTTGAATGTAGATGATAATTGTTCAGAAGATTTGATTCAATTCTGAAATTTATATTTGCTTTAAATGTTTGACCTCAGCAGTACAGAATAATGCAGTAATATGATTTTACTTGAAAAAATATATTTTCTCTATATAACTTAAGGAGTCTGCATTTCTTGAGAATCAGCAAAAGGCTGTGTATCACGCCTGGGTGGAGTGCAGTTATTTCGCTGTGTTGGAGGCCCTAAGTGAAATATACAGCCCCCCCAGGTGACAGCGGGACAGAGTCCCTGCACCCGAGGACGCGGCCTGGGCAGGCTGGCTGCCTATTCCCCGTCCTCCCAGAAAAAATCGGATCATCACAGAAGCCTGCAGCCGCCCCGTGGAGGAACCCGGCTGCTCCTCGGTTCAGTGCTTTTGCGTTGTCACAGGATAAAAGGAGAGGCAGCTAGCGTTTACTGTGGGTCACCCTGCGTGAATAAAGGACTCCCTGCAGAGTATTTGCATATATATTAGTAGGTAAACACCAGTTTAGACATGTGCAGTATACTGTGCCTGTCTATCTATGTGTGTGTGTATACATATATATATATATATATATACACACACACACATACATAAACGCACGCGCGTGCAGCATATATGATAATTATTTTTACTGTTTACATACAAACCTTGCCATTCGGCAGTAATAATAAACAGTAAACGTAACAAACTTAAGCACACTGGTGATACCCGCAGCATGGTGATGTCAGACCCCATTCCGATTGACTGGGGGGGGTAAATATTTGAACAGGATATGTATGTATTTGTTGTTGTTGCGTTGTCAATACGTCAATACGGTGATGGATATAGGGCTGAAGTGTGGAAGCGTTTTCAAAAGCATGTTTAAGTACATTTGCCGGGAATTAGCTGACTTGTGTAATAAGCGATCGGGTTATATCGACCGGCAAAGCGGCTCGCTGCCGTCATGTTTTGGCTGCGCTACTTTTAAACAAACTAAACGGGGTGGGGAATAAAAAAGACGGATGTCCCGTTCCCTTTTCTCACAGTCTTTGTTTTTTCCCCCTCTACTTACCAATATCATTATCGGTTATCCATAGTTTTGAATCTCATCGCTGTTAAATTGCTTAGCATGTACACCAGGGGCTTTTAAGGTGGTTTGGAGGCACGAGGTGGGGGTGGGGGTGGGGGCTTGCGTTTGACTTTGCAGAAAAATGAATTGCGGGTGTGAAATATTAATGATTTTATTTTGCATTACCGGCACGGACACGGAGCGTAAGCCGACCGCTGTTTGCAGCTGTTGTAATGGCTCTGCAGGACGGCGGGCGAAGCCTTTATATTCCTGCCGCACGTTTTTATGTGTTAACTTTTACACTCACCACCTATTAGACTGACGCCGAATCGAACCGAAGACGTATTTATTTGTATAGGTGCGTGGGTGCGCGCGCGACTGCGTGTGTATAATGTATCGATATGATAAAAATGACCAGTCTTTCAAAGGGTTAATATAATCTTCGGCAATTCCAGGTATTGGTCGCGCACATTTATTTTCCATTTTTGTTTTTCTTTTGAGCTAGGCATACTGTTTAATATGCCGCACATTGAAACTTTTTATACATGATCCTTTTATAAGATTAATGAATTAATTTCACTTTGTATAAGAAACCTTAAGAATAACAAGGTCACAAGATTTGCTAATAATTTTTTGACGTATTTGAATGTGCCTTTTTGAATGTCATTATTTAGTCTTAGCAAGAGAAATAGTCGGGTGATTAATATTTGTTTCTCCTGCTGCTTTTTTTTCCAAAATATTATAAATGGTACATTCATATTTTCAAAGTGGTGCATATGATTCAAGAAAAAAATATTCCTGAAGGCATGAAGAGGCTTTGTGACATTCAATTTTTTTCCCTATTGATTTTTTTTAATCAAACGAAATTAAAGAAGGAATTAGTGGAAATTGAATTTAAAAAGCATAAAAAGAAGCGTCTTCCCTCTTTGTCTCATAACCTTGTAATTGGGTGTCAGCTGTAAGTTTCTGTGGATACGAGGGTGGGTGGTTTAAAAATTAAAAAAAAAAAAAAATGCCGCCGTCCCTTTAAGCACATCCACCAATTCTGATGGAGTGGCGATTTACATGTCCCGGCGTCTCCTCCCCCTCCAGGAGAGCTGAGTGAGGATGTGGAGGCTGCTGGTGAGACCGCCACAGATCAGGAGGACCAAACCAAAGACAGAGAGAGTGGGGGGGAGAAGGAGCTCACCAAAGGGACAGGTAAGGCTTGTCTTTATCGCTTTACTGGGAAAGGACAGGCGCGCAGGAAGGACAATGTAGGAAGGCCAGTGGCAACGATTAGCAGTGGACATGAAATCAGCTTATGCAAATCAGATGCATCCTTGTTAAAGTATTTCAAGGAGAGAAGGTCAGCACATATGAGATTATCATACCCTATATGCCAAAACATTTTTAGCCAATTTCATTTTGCTGTTTTTTTTTTTTTTTCAAGTTTACCTTCAATCAAATTAAATCAATTTTTGCTGTCTTCAGTTGTTTTAGGTGACATTGTCTGAGATTTGGCCCATTCGTTAAAAATGTGATGTTCCAGTGCCCTGTAATGAAACTGGACAGTTTCATTGGATTTAACTGCCCGCATGCGCCACCTCTTCTCCCAGGTGGGGGGTGGGGGGTGGGGGGGGAGGGGCATCGGGTCATGCGGAGCACACCTGTCAGGAACGGTGATGTGCAAGGGCAGCCGCACGGCCCGTCCGGGAGCAGTCGGCTTCCGGGGGCGTGGCTTGGGCCCTGAGTGTGCCGTCTCCACGGTGACGTGAGCGGGCCGTAGCAGTAGAAGATGCGCATGATAGCGTCAGGCCTGGGCCACCCTTCAGCCGCATTCGCTTTACGCTTTACGCTTCGTCGCACAGGGGTGACGTCAGTTTGTTGTGTGATTTTTAACGGTGCACGTGCACACGTGCAGTGTGGGCACCTGATGGATGAGCTCCTTAATGCCCCCCCCCCACCCCAAAACAGCTGGAAAGTCCCACCTCTCCTGGGAGCCACCCTCCTTGTCACATCTAAAAACCCTCTTACTTGAACTCCTGCTTGAATCTTTCCTTTGATTTCTAATGATGCAAACGGTATTCACGTTCCGTGACATGCCGTGTTGGTTTCTGGCTAAGCTGATGTCACCTGAGCTGATCACATGATCACCGAGCATCATGTGGAGCAGCGTCCGTCATCTAAGAAGCATCAGAATGTACTCTGTGCACCTCCTTCATCCTCATCCTCATCCTTATCCTGCAGGCTCCTAGGCATGACAGTCACCCAGACCCCTCTGCCCTGAGGCAGAGAACCACTCGAGTTTTGGTTCTGGAATGATGAAATTAGATTAATGCTAAGAAAATAAATTAGGAAACTTCATTTGAACTTTTTGAAGTCGGGTCTTAAAACGTCTTTGATTTTGAAACTTTTTAGAAGTTGGGCAGAGTTGTTTGTGCTCTCCGAAGAAAGCTGCTTGCCTCTTTGATGGCGGAGATGATAATGTACTTGGCTGCCTAAAAGTATATTTAACATATCAAAATAAAGCACTTTAAAGAGCATTAAAATGAGCGGCACGATTAATAATTCACTGATACCTGTGGTGTGCGGAATGATGGCGGGAACAGGAGAATTCCTCTTGTTAAAAGGCGATCAGTTTAATACAGATGTACGAGTTTCAGTGCACCCCCCACCCCAACCCCCATCGGCCGCCAATCTCAGTATGAGGATGTTTTGGTGTTTTTGCACAGCGGAGATGTTCCTCTATATGAAAAATGCAGGGGTTCCCAGGAGCTTATTATCCCGGCAAAGTTAAAAATAGTTCTTCATCCATGGGTAAGAGGGTCCATAAAGTTGTCTGATGTGTGAGGAGGATGGAGAGGGTCAACAGACTCAGGATGAGGAACCTGAAGATCATTGATTCTTTGTAGACCATTGAAGTTTTGTAAGATGGGGGGCATAAGAGGAGTCATAATGCGTACAGAGGACCAGCCTTATCTTTAGCCAATGATATGTTTTGAATCAGTGAGTGACAGGGGAGGGGGTACTCCATGGGGCCAATCAGATTTCAGCTGGGGCCAGTGACCCCACCCATGTACATGCCCTTGCTTACCAGTTGGTGGTACCAGACATACTGTAGGTTCCGCAGTACTTCTGATCTGAGAGGCAGTCTTGTGATCCCACTGGACACTTAAGGCGTAACAAAACGTGTTGATCGATCCCGGTCTGTCATTCCCCGATTTTAACGGGGTGCTCTCCCCTACACCGGGAGCTGTAACACCACGGCTGAAATGCATGAAACATACAGGAAATGACGCAGTCAACATGTTGGGGATTTGAAAAAAGGTTAGCAATTAATTTGTGGCTCTGATAGAGAGGACACAGCGAGGAAATAACGAGGAGATAAAGCTGCGTGTTGGAAATTAGTTATTTAAATGATAAGAAGGTAGCAGAAGCCATAATTTAGCTACCTGATTTAATAAATAAATGGGGGGGGGGTTGCTTGTAATGGGGAGGGGGTATGAAGTTATACACACTTTGCCTGAAGCAGCATCTTGTTGCCCTAGTGTTTGCACGTCTACCTCAGCCGGTAGCTGTCGAGTGAGGAACGAAATCGGGATTCAGTGAGATCAGGTATTAATGCAGAACCTGAGGTTGGGGAAGGAGGCAGGGGGAGGGGAGGGTCACACAGGGTTGAGGGGATTGTTAATATATCTTAGTGCTGGGAGGGATGGCTATAGTACAATTTAAAATATTTAACATAAGTGTATTGAAATGGCTCTGTTCAGATGAGGTGAAGAGGGAGGAGTCTTTAGCAGTTTATCAGTATGAATTATGGGCCAAATTGTGATTTTGAGGATGTGTGTTTGAGGATGTCGAAAATGGCTGGTCTTGTGGTGCGTTTCCGGTATGCAGTGGTCAGTACCTACCAAAAGTGGCCCAAGGAAGGCCAACTGGTGAACTGACATCAGGGTCATGGGCGCCCAAAGCTCATTGAGGCATGTCTGGCCTGTCTGGTCCAATCCAGCATGAATTGCTGTGTTTATGATGCAAAGGTGTCAGAACTCACAGTGCATTACAGCTTGCTGCATATGGGGCTGTGTAGCCGCAGACTGGTCAGGGTGCCCAGACTGACCCCTGTCCACCTACAATGGGCAGGTGAGCATCAGAACTGGACCATGGAGCAGTGTGAAAAGGTGGCCTGGTCTGATCAGTCATATTTTTTTGTTACCTCATGTGGACGGTCACATGCGTGTGCAACGTTTAACTGGCAAAGAGATGACACGAGGATACACTATGGGAAGAAGGCAAGCCGGCAGAGGCAGTGTGATGCTCTGGGTCATGTTCTTCTGGGAAACCTTGGGTCCTGGCATTAATGTAGATGTTACTTTGACACCTGTCACCTACCTAAACATTGTTGCAGACCAAGTACACCTCTTCGTGCAACAGAAATCCCCAATGGCAGTGGCCTCTTTCAGCAGGAAAATGAGCCTTCCACACTGCAAAAAGTGTTAATCAATGGCGTGAGGAACATGAAAAGAGTTCAAGGTGTTGACTAGGCTTCCAAATTCCTCAGATTTCAATCCGATTGAGCATCTGTGGGATGTGCCGGACAGACACGTCTGATCCATGGAAGCTCCATCTCACACCTTACAGGACTTAGAAGATCTGCTGCTAACATCTTGGTGCCAGATACCACAGGACACCTTCAGAGGTCTTGTGGAATCCATGCCTTAATGGGTCAGAGCTGTTTTGGTGGCATGGGGAGACCCACACAATATTAGGCAGGTGGTTTTATTGTTCTGGCTAATCGGTGTATGTTCATAAAGTTAAAAAATATGAACCCTTGACATCTGTAGAATTGTGCGCGTTTTGCTTCTGAAAACAGGACCCCTCAGACGGTCCTTATTTGTTCCTGTTTCGATATCAACACATTGCACGGTTCACCCAATGTGGTTCGAGCCATTAGACATGTGTCCTCTTTCAGTGAACTCTATGAACCATTGTTTTTTTTTTCTTTTTTCTTTTGCTGGAGCACGGCGGCCTGGCGATTAATAACTTCTGCTAATTAATATCTCGTTCAATTCCTTTATTTGAAATTTGTCTTTGTTGAGGTTATGCCTCGTAGGCCTGAGCAAACTGGATTTCCCGGCCTGCCCCGACAGACCGTCATTAATGAATCCGCGACTATACACCAAGGATAGGAGAAGATGATGAACTTGACTGCGATGTGGGGTTGGCGGACCAACGTTCACTGTAATTTTCTTTATTTGAAATTAATTGGTGCAAAGTAATTACCTGAGAAATACAAGGTGAAATGGAATATAACCCAATGTCGCTCTGGGCTCCAGTGCGGGAAGAAGATTAAAAAAGACGGTGGAGAAAGTGAAAAAAAAGATAGTATTTAGTTATTGTTAGCATAGTCTATGCATTAAAGAGAGTGACCTGGAGCACTGGAGGGTGAAACATCCTCTTCCAAATTAATCGCTAAATTGGTGTGGTCATAGGAGGAGAGTGTGTCCCATGTCATCGAGAGTGGGGGGCAGCCACACGGCCCTCCCCGGGCATTCATGATGCAGTTTTCGAATAAAGGTGAATGTGATAGGGGAGGGGGGTAGGGCTAGTTTTCAGGGCTAGGTTGAGGAGAATCTGCAGGGGTGAGATGGGCAGCCAGTGGTCATGTGACACACACACTCACAGCGTCTGATCATGAGAGGAGTAGAGCCCAAGAGGTTGTGAGATTTAGTCCAGTGTCCCTGGTCAGCCTCTGGAGTTGTTGAGCTGGACTCCAGGCTAATCATGGTCATCCCCCCCCCCCCATTCTGATATCCGTCTCCAATGCTCATTCACAGCGCTGGGTGTGGGGTATCGCTTTCCAAGGGCACCGCAGTAATGCGGCAGCAGCAACATCAGCTGCGATCGCATTTCTGTAACGTTTTGCTGGCTGATTCACGCCAAACTGCCAGCCAGTCGCTGGACCGCTGTCCCGTTAGCCCCTCCCCTGGTCGCAACCTTTCACAGCGTGGCAGGGTCCCCAGTCTCGGAGCAGGGGACTCTGCCATGTCACTGCAGCCCCCCCCAAATGAATCAGGTCTACTTCTTAGCTAAGCATCCCTGCTGCAGTAGGTAAGGAGGTGTGCCAAAGTCCAGCTCGCTTACGGGACTCGATATCTCAGGCGGCCACAGTTTACGGAAAAAGGCCATGAATTAATAATCACCTAATTGACTCTTAAGATTTTTTTTTTTTTATCCCCCCCCCCCCACTTTGCCTTCAGTGCAGTGAGATGAAAGTCCACTGTTTTGGTTTGTCAGATCAAGTCAGGTCTCATCGTCAGGTTCGTTTAAAAGGCTCAGCCCGTTTTAATGAGTCCAGTCACTGTTCTCAGCTTCTTGACCTGGATTTTGGCTGCCTGTCGCCAAGTCGGGTCATCCTGCTTGAGGGACATTCAGATAAATCACATGAAATGTCCTCCTCAGAAGGACCGAAAGATTTACAGCTCAAAGGCTGCAGTCTGACTTTCTTAATAATAAATAAGAAAGTGCAGAGAGGAAAGATGGATACAGTGAAAAATAAAATGTTCATTTGGGTCATTTTAAGGCAGAATATTAAAGGTCAGGTTCTCACACCATGTCAAACATAATGGTTTCTGCCAGCTGGAAGTCGGCAGGATAGGTTCTCCACACGTCACATTCTCTGCACCTTCCCTAGACGTTATTTTGCTCCTTATCCTTCTGGTTTTCGAACTCTATCGCCGTTCCATGGTTGGAAGTCCTGTGACTGGCTCTGTGTTAGTCCACTCTTCTTCGCCCCCCCCCCCCCCCTTTCTGAAACTGGGCATTGCAGTGAGGGTTCACTGGAGTGCTGGTATTCGATTCCGAGGGTGATCCTCTTGGGCAGGTTTACTGTGACCCCTCAGGCCATTGCCCTCAAGTCCTGTAGGCTCCTCCAGGGCCCCCTGCTGCATCTCCCAGTGCCTGGATGCACAAACATACTGGACACATGCTGGTTTGTGGCCTTGCTACTAATTGCAGAACAATTAGAAATAAGTGTTTGCTGAAGGCTGCTAATGAGAGCGCTTTGTTATTCTGCTCAGTGTGAGATGGTGTCTGGCCTGCTAATTTGCTTTATCTATGGTTATGGATGCACTTTACTGTCAGAAATGGCCCAACTTGTAAGATATATAATAATATGTCAGAGCGCTATACATATTACAGCATCCTGATGGTAGACTGTTCGGTCAAGCTGCTTGTGTGAGCTTCCCAAGGGTCTGATTGGAGCCCTTGTGTCTGAAGAACTCTCCTTGACCACCGGACTGGTCACTGTGACCTGAAGGACAGTGGTCCTCCAGTAGAATGGTTTTTCTCAACCCAGTCCACAGGGATCCCCAGACAGTCACATTTTTGCTCTCTCCCAGTTCCCAGTCCCATCAAGAACACTCACTACATGGTCAAGGTATGTTTGGAGCTGGGAGGGAGCGAAAATGTAGACTGCCTGGGGTTCCCTGCAGACTACTGTTGAGAATCCCAGAGGAGAAGGTGCGGGTGGGGCTCTTGGAGGCCGGCTGAGTGGCCATGTGGGGTTTTGGGAGTACTGGGAAGAGGAGACCATTCTGCAGAGGAGTGGTTAATACTAGCAACTGGGAGGTTCTTTTGTTTAACATTTCCTTTGTTTATTGGTGGATGTGTTTAATGGGATTGGGCCTGACTGGACCTAATAATCGCTGGCTGGCTGATCCCTTGCTTCTCTGGGAGGATCCAGCAGGCAGAGTTCCTGAAATGAGAGTCCCCACTGTGTAATCAGCTCAGCTGTCCCGCGTCTGATTGGACCTGACATTTTAATGTCTGCACCCAGAGTGTGGTCAGCGCCTCTTAAAAACCCCCTTAGTTCCACACCTAACCCCCTCCCCCCAGCCATTTCCACCCCCTGGTCCTTACCGCCCCCTCCCTGCTCTCAATTTGGCCTCGCTGGACTGTACGAATCAAGCCAAATTTAACTCTTTATGACCTTGTTAAGGTCCAGCCCAACACCTCCTTAAGTTTCACATTAGATTCTTTCCACTGCTGGCCGTGGGTGAGGACTCCGCTCTTGGCTCTCACTTTGTGTCAGTTTAGTCCCATTACGTGCCCCCGGCTTAGCAAAGTATTTTTACTCACTGCCCACCAGGCTGGGGCTGGGGGGGTGACGGAGCTCTGGAGTGCCCCGTCCTGCACGTGTGCCCCTAGGGGACCGGATGGAGCCCCACGGTGCGATGCCCGATGCCCTTTGAGGGATTATTGGGCAATGCTGCGGTGACAGTAAAGGGAATAGCTGCTAATGTAGCTGGGGGGGGGGGTGTGCCTGGCGCCCCATTTATAGCGTCCTGTGTTCACCGACTCATCTGAAAGATATCCTCGTGTTCAGGGGTGGGGCCACAGGGATACTGGCCCCATCAGAAAATTGATTTGCCCCTGGAGTGTCCCTCCCCCTGCCATTCAACGATTCAAAACATATCATTGGCTAATGATAAGATTGGCCCCTCTTATGCCCCCCACCATAATAAAACTTAGAATCACCCCTGCCCGATTCCCATTTGGATCTGATCTTTGTTGGGGGGTGGAGTTTACCCCTTCCTCTTCGTCACTTTGTGATCTGAACCCACGTCTGTGCCTCAAGACGTCTTGTTCTGAAGTTCTGTTTTTTTTTCTGGTGAGCACCCGGACTTTAAGGACAGCCTCGGTGCCAAGTCGCACCCTGTCCCGGATTGGCCTAGAGATGGTGGGGGGGGGGGGGGGGGGGGGGGGGGGGGGGGGGGGGGGCGGGAGGACGAGAGTTTGGATTCAGCAGGACTGAAGGTCCCTCGCTAGCTGGGATTTTGGAACCACGGACCTGTTGCCACTAGAGGTGCGCTGGAAGGTGCTGAGCCGGGTCAAAAAATTCCAATTAAGTCGAGAGTTGCTGTGGCCCCCACTTGCTGCGTAGGCACAATATGATGGGGGGGGGGTTTATCCCAATGGGGGTCAAGCTAAAGGTCAGCGCTTCCACTGGGGTTTGAAGGGATTTTGCACTCCCCCACCTCTGGTTTGGCTACATGTGGAAATTGCACCCTCTACACATTTCTCCATCCTAGCAGCAGCACTTTAAGTTGCCCACCCCCCCCCCCCCGTCCTTTATTTCATAACAGTCTTACTGGAGAAGGTCCAACATCAATGGATCTGTGGCAGCGTTCAAGCTGAAGGTGTAGTCACTGGTGGCTGCTGCAGTTGGGGTCTCCCAGGCCGCTCCATGGCGCTCCTCTCTTGCAGAGCTCTGCATATCCAACCCATTCAGTGTATTTTGCTCCCAAGGATGAGTGTGGAAGGAAAGCCTAACCCTTTTCGTGGCATGGTGGGAAAGAAAGGTTGCTAGGATACGATTTATTAAATCTGGTAATTGGTTAAATAGCCCGTAGTAAAATTTTAAGTTAAAAATAGAGAAGGTGTGTGACTCCTGTTAAAAGTCGGGTGGTGAAGCGTGACATGTTTGAGCATTGGCAGTTGGGTTTGCGGTGGCTAGCAGGCAGGCATTACTTTTCCCACAATCCTTTTGGGGAAAACAGTCTTTCCTTACCGTAGACTTGGGGTGGTGGGTGGGGGGGGGTCACCCCAATTGTGTCGCCCGATATATTACCTGCATATTGGCTGTTTATTGATTTAAGCGTGGCTAGTAAGTCAACCTTCACTTCAAACACGAAAATGAATGGATCCAAGAGTCACTCTACACACCCAACTGATGCTCTGATTACTTGTCTCTCCTTGCGTTTGATGTGCTGGTGATCAGACACGAGGAGAGACAGCCAGTCAAGGAATCCAGTGTCTTTCCCCTGGGTCTGAGACTGAAATGCTTGTGGGTTATAGGATGTCTTAAATCTGGTGACATCACAAAATTAAAATGACAAAAATCGTGAAGCCCTCACCCTCCTCTGATTGATGCATGCTGAGTCCTTGCCCTGAATTGACTCCTTGCCTTCTTATACCCCCCCCCCCCTTCTTCCCATAGCAGCATCCAGCCAGGCGGAAAGAGACCAGACAGATTCCCCGATCCCCTCCAAACGCCCTTTGTCAAGGTCGGGGACGGCAGAGAGCCCCCTCTCCTCCAAGCGTCCAAAGACGACAGACAAGTGTGCTGGAGATCAGGTGAGGCGTCATCCTGTGACATCATGAAAAAGTTCATATATGAGGTAACCAGAGGCTGTTGATGTCCAAATGGTGCTGCATCGTCGAAGTGTGCAGAATAAAACGTTACTTTTTGCCGCATGCCATTTTCTGCGATGATCACCCCTCGCTGTTTCTGCTGCGGCTGCATTGCTCATTCCGCGGGAGGCGGAAGATCGACGTCTGATGGTGTAGATGGCAGTGAAGGGCCCATGTGACCTTGTGCCCACACCCCTTCCCCGCCTGCTCCGCCTGCCCCGCCTGCTCTCAGGTGTACCAGTGTCCCTACTGCAAGTACAGCAGCGGGGACCTGAACCGCATGAGGATGCACGTGATGACGCAGCACTCGGTCCAGCCCATGTTCCGCTGCCCGCTGTGCCAGGACATGCTCAACAGCAAGGTCCACCTGCAGCTGCACCTGACGCACCTACACAGCGTAGCCCCCGACTGCGTGGACAAGCTCATCTCCACCGTAAGTTTTGCTTGAGTGTCTGTGTCTATCAGTGTGTGAGATCATGTCCGCCTTAGTCACAGTTGGCCAGACGGTGTCTGGAAGCTCAGGGTTTGTTTCAGGAGCTGCAGAGGCGCATGGATGCCCCAACAGATTCAAGGGGCCCAGCACTTTGCAGGGGCCCTTGAATACGTAAAATTATACATAAAATTCAACTGGGTGTCGAGTTGCTACCTGTCCCCCGTTGTAAAATAGAATGCCTGAGACGTGATTTGTCCTGTATCTTTCACACCCTAGCGGGGGACCCAAGGTGACATTTTGTCAGGTTGCCCAGAATTTCTAGCTACACCCCTGGTCTGTTTTGCGGCAAGTCATTAACCAGATGTAGGGACACTTTCCTGATGAGTACTCACTGTCTCTCCGGGAGACGTTTTTATTGCGTCAGTTAACTGCACGTCCTTCCACCGGCATCCTCGGCCTAGGTGCGGTACGGATGGAGTCGTGATACCTTTCACACCGATCGCGAAAAGGCTTTGAAAAGAGTGAGCGGCTACAAGACAGGAAATGTCAAGGTCTGACCCCGTCCCCCGCCCCTTACCTGACATCCCCCATTCAACAGACATAGCAACCGCTCTTGTGTAAATGGAGACTTCTTCCTATCCTGCAAGGTGTTCCTTGTTCCATTAATTTCCCGTGTGGTCAAATCGGTGGTGAGGGCCGTTTGCCTCTTACAGCTTGCTAGCCTTGTTTGTTGTGTGTGTGTGTGTGTGTGTGTGTTTAAATGCCTTTTCATGTTCCTGAATGCGGCAGGGTTGAGCCTCCCGCTGTCGTTTGTCCATGCCGGCCGGTAATTTCTAGTTCTGCTGGGATAGTTTCTCAGTTTCTCTGCAATGGCTGACCTACTTACCTTACAGTCGTGTGGTTTATCGTGGCGTGGTGTGCCCGTTGTCTGCTGCTGCATTGCCCCGCAACGTCACATCTCAAGCAAAACAGAGGGCTACCTACAGCTTGTATTAAAAAAAAAAACAACAAAAGTCTATTTTAAAAAACATCTGTAAATATTAGTAATGATCGGAGGATTTGATACAGATATTTTCCCCCAGCCTTCCTTCCTGCTTGTAAATTGTAAATTTTTGTCTGCTCTTGGAGAAAGTTGGCAGAGAAGATAATGAGCCTCTCTGACCAGGCTGCTTCTTGTTTAACAGCATTGACAACTTTTCCAATCAATCCTTGTTTCTGTCCAGCACAAGACAAAAGCCTTCTGTTATTGATCTTTATCATCGCGCAAATGATGTGAAATAAAATTAGCACTGCAGGCAATTATTGGTCCATAATGTTGTCAGGCCGCAGTAACTGTTTTTTGTCGCAGCGTCTAAAGGCGGAGTGAGATTAATTCTCGTGACATCTGATGGCCTTGGCATTGTTGCAGTGGTGCCGATCTAAAACTCTCGCCTGGTTAATCTATATCAGAGATAACAAGTTCAGAATGCCATTTGATTGGCTGCCACAGATTTGGTTCCATTTCAGGAGAATTTCTCAAGGTGGCTATCATTTTATATGTGTGCAAAAATCTTGAGGGGGAGATAATTAAAATACTCTTTATACATTTGTTTGCAGCATAGTTAAACGTGCTGAGTTACAGAGTATCTGTAAAGGTATGTCTGGATGCGTTGGTCACCGTAAGCTGGATTGTTTCAGTTCAGCCGAAGAATGCAGCTGAGTTGAAGACTGATAATCGGCATAGCCGGAGAACCTCCATGTCTGGGTGAATGCGGCGGATGGAGGTCATTTATGAAACTCTTTCGTGTTCCTCCGTAACTCTTACATCACCCTTGTTCGTCCCATCCTGCCGCTCTCAGCGGCCGTTTCCTCCAGCGGACGGCGCTCCGGGTCACTCGGCCCCCCTTCCGTTCACGCAGCATGAAAAGTTGGACCGCGACTTGGTCCATCCCTGGACCACAGCGCCCCCCCCCCCCGCCTTCCTTCAGAGTAACCGCCTTTGTGCTCCCAGGGGCTATACGGCCGACCCCGCATCCTCCCATCCGCAAAGCAAATGGCAAACGCATTAGTAGGAAAAGCTGCGATATTTTCCTCTTTTATGGCGTTAATAAGAGTGGGCCTTTCTCAGAAAGGCAGGGGGAGAGAAGCCAGGCTCCTTCTTTATAACAAGTGGAAATGAATTGAAAGGTACTTTATCCTTTCGCCTGTCTCCTGCCGGCGAGCCTAATGAATTCTGAAATAGGTGACTTTTATTTCTTGCCTACTATGCATAAAGATGCTCTCTTCCCAGGGCGCTTCCCAGGCGTCTCTCTCTCAATCTGGCTGCCTCCTCCCTTCCCTCTCTCTAACCTTTCTCCCACCACATCCCTCACTCTTCCCCCTCCGACTCACACGCCCCCCCCCCCCACCCCCTTGCTCTGTCACATTGTCTGTCTGTCTGAGATAGGGGTAATGAAAATAATTGTGCTCCATTAATTCTCAGTCTAGCTAGATGATAGCCATTTTGAACTGTTTGCCAATTAGGTGGGCTAAATTAAAAGTGACCTTGGGATACCATTGGTCCTTGCCTCTCGTTCTCTAATGAAGCAGTCGTCTAGGAACAGTCCACTTTGTAATGTAAATCACTGGCAATTTGTTTTTGTAACTCTCTGTACTAGTTGCATTCATTTTCTACTTTTAGACTTGAGGAGATGGAATGGAAGAGTGGGGAGAGAGAGACGCCTCGATTTCTTACTTTTTTCCCTCCTCTGACTAGACTAATCGCTTGATGGTGAATGGGGAAAAATGTTTACTGTCCTGCTTAACCCCCCAACCCTGCTGCTGGGGATACCGCGCCCGTATTGGAAAGTGTCATGTGTCCCCATGGATTAGCATTAATTCTTGCTTGGTATGGATGTGCATTGGGACTTCCCTCGCTGTACGTGCCGAATTAACCGTGCTGGCGGTTAATTAAGAGGACCGGGACTGCGTGAGAAGGACGGCTACTCACTCTGAAGGCCTTGCTGGTGGACCCTGCCTGCCTTTCTGTCCTGTGCCCCCTTTTTGTTTTTGGAAGATGTGCCTGGTCACATGTTCCTGTGGACGTCCCTGGTCGCCATGTATGGCTCAGCAGGTTGGGCCTTTGTGCCTGTGATTGGAAGGTTGCCACTTTGAATCCTGTCCTCGGCAGAATAGCCACGTCACTGTTGGGCCCTTGAGCGAAGCCCTTAACCCCCAGAAGAAATGGCTGATCCTGTGCTTGGTCCCCAGGCTTCGCTCTCAACTGTATGTATGTGTCTGTTTGTCTGAATGAAGAGCATGATGGGATATGCGAAACAAAGAATTCCAATATATGGGCGGAGCTTATCTGGAGAGAAAGGCACACAAGGAAAAGACCATGACAGGTCGAGTTATTTTCCGGCGGAGAGCCGTACGATCACATGAAGGGGCTACAAGGGGGGGTTGGCGGGTGGAGGTGGTCCGGGCCGTGCCGAGACACTGTGCTCGAGATTAGCTTTCATTTTCTGAGGGGACGAGATGGCAAGAAAGAGATACTGGAGTGATAAAAGTGTGTGGCAGGGGGTGTGAATTGAAATGCAAAGTGGGAAGTGAAGCTGATTATTCTGTTTGGGGAGTTAATTGAAGGAAGGTGAAGTAGACAGTGTCTTGTCTCTCCCCAGCTCTCCCAATTTCACTCGCTGATTATTGTTAAATAGGAGCCCGCTAATGAGCGCTTTTGATGAATTGTTGTATTTCTTTAGTTGAGAGAAGGAGCCAGGGAATGGGGGGAGACGGGAATGGAAATAAGGGGGGGGGGGGGGCGCCCAATGTCGGATGACTCCCCCATTACATTCCCTTTTGCTATTTAACGCATTTCTGCGATGATAATGGTGANATAGGAGCCCGCTAATGAGCGCTTTTGATGAATTGTTGTATTTCTTTAGTTGAGAGAAGGAGCCAGGGAATGGGGGGAGACGGGAATGGAAGGGGGGGGGGGGGGGGGGCGGGGAGGTCGCCAAGATGGATGTAGGCCCTGCTGTCATTCACACATGATTGACTTCAACCTTTCGAGTGCACAGAAAACCTATCCACACTCCTGCACTTTCTAATCAATATTCATTGCTCCTTGAAATCTCCTAATTAAAAAAAAAATGGAAGTGGGGGGGGGGGGGGAATAAAAAAAAATAAACTAGTGTATGGAAACAAAATGGATGTTACCACTGTTCTTTCTGGTCTGTCTCTGTCTCCCCCCCCCCACTTCAGATCATGTGATGTGATCAGAATTAAACAGTCCCAGACTCCTACAGTGTCCTGTTAGTTTTCTGTTTACAGCCGTGATAATGAGATCCTCTGCAAGCTGAGCAATGGCTACATTTCCTCGGCTTCAGTTAAGTGGTCAGGAGCTCGTCTGCGTGTTCCTGAAAGCATCCCGCCGCGTTGCTCCTTTTCACAGGAATAAGATGCTCTTTTTTGTGCCCCACAAGGAAGAATGATTTAATTAGAGATCCCTCTAATAAGCCTCTTGGTTGGCTAAGGTAGGCCTTTCAACCCATCTCACTAATTGGCTGCAGGAGAACTTTCCATGTGACGAAACACCTTCAGTGATCAAAGGGCACATTCCAGACATGGTAAATAAAGTAAAAATAATATGATTACTTTATAGCGCTTGCGTGTATTTCCCTGGCAGCAAAAGTACAGGAATTTATCAAGAGACTGGTTTCGAGTTTGGTTCTATTTATATTGTTGTCATCTAGTGATATACATTCTGCTCCACTAAACTTCATTCTGCCTATAGTCAGTGTGGTCTTTATTTACTTGTCTCCATTGGCATTTCCCTTATGGGGATCAAGGTACATGTGTAATAAAATAAGGGAAATTATAATTAAGTTTTTTTTTTTTTATGGAATGCTGAAATGATTTACCCAAATGATTTGTGTTGTCTTAGCCTGCGTGTAAAGTCTGCTGAGCAGAATGAGTAACACCACTTAGGCCATAAGAGACAGCGGCCTTTGACTGAGCACTCGTGTCCACCCCTGATCTGAGCACGTCTTGGGTTTTGACTTTCTAGGTGACGGCATCTGAAGTGCTGCCTGCGAGTTTGTTCATGCCGGTTCCAGGGCTGGAAAAGGAGGGCCCAAACGCATCGCTGACTGCAGGCAGCTCCAGCCCAGATGACGCAAAGAAGCAGACAGGTTTGTGTCGCCCTGACCGTTTCGCCTCAGTGACGTGTTCCGGAACATTCACCGGCGCTTTTTACCTACCAGCCAAAATCGTAATGGAACCTGGTGAAAGAACCAAAAATGCATTCTTGTTAAGTGTTTCCATATGAAAAATTCACTTTGGACAAAAGCATCTTCTAAAATAAATAAATAAAAAATACAATAAAATAAGTGAATTTAAAAAGATTTTGAAAATATAGCAGGTGTGTCAAGGCAGTCGTGAACCATTTTAAGAACCAAATAAAAATCCATTTTCTGCAGACAGCCTTTGAATTGCTTCCATATTTTGAGACTTGTTTTGATGAATAAAGAATCATTCATGCATCAGAAAGTCCTGAAACTGTGAACAAAATGTCTTCTGGTGCAATTTCCGTTATGCGCAACGATATCCAATTTATATGATCTGTTGTCTGTTTTCTGTTGTTTGGCAGAAACCTTGGACCTCCACACTGAAAGTGGGGGCCCACCACCTGCAGAAATGAACGAGTCTCGCAAGTCGCCCTTGGATGAGCAGCAGTCAATGAAGGAGGATGTTGGTGGCTTCCTGTGCTGGAAGAAGGGCTGCAACCAGGTTTTTTCTTCTTCAAGCGCCCTTCAACTACATTTCAACGAGGTCCACAACAAGAGGCCGCAGCTGCCTGTCTCCGACCGGCACGTCTACAAGTACCGCTGCAACCAGTGTAGCTTAGCCTTCAAGACCATAGAGAAGTTGCAGCTGCATTCACAGTATCACGTCATCAGGGCGGCCACCATGTGCTGCCTCTGCCAGCGCAACTTCAGAACCCTGCAGGCTCTGAAGAAGCACCTGGAGACCAGTCACCTGGAGCTGAGTGAAGCTGACATCCAGCAGTTATATGGGGGCCTGCTGATGAACGGAGACCTCATGGTCATAGGTGATGCATCTCTTGGAGAGGACCAGGGAGCACTTGGAGAAGATGACAAGGAAGGAGAGGAGAGTGACCCCGAAGAAAAGCAAAGCCCAACTGGTAGTGACTCTGGTTCACTCCAGGAGGATTCTGGGTCAGAACCTAAGCGTGCACTTCCCTTCAGGAAAGGCCCCAACTTTACTATGGAGAAGTTCCTGGATCCGTCTCGACCTTTCAAATGCACTGTGTGCAAAGAGTCTTTTACCCAGAAGAACATCCTCCTGGTCCACTACAACTCAGTATCACACTTACACAAAGTTAAACGGGCCCTACAAGAGACCACTACGGGTCAGCCGGAGCCCACTAGCAGCCCAGACAACAAACCCTTCAAGTGTAGCACTTGCAATGTGGCATACAGCCAAAGCTCTACACTGGAGATTCACATGCGTTCCGTCCTTCATCAAACTAAAGCTCGTGCAGCTAAGCTGGAAGCAGCAGGGGGTACCAGTGGCTCTATGAATGCAGTTAGCGCTGGAGGTGGAGGGTCCTCCGTAAGGACATCCACGCCCAGTCCTTGCCCTGCCAATTCCTCTGCAGCAATGAATAATAGTAGTTCATCTTCTACTGTTCAGAATGTGCCAAACATCCAGGGAGGAGGTGCACATGCAAACCAGTCTACGGGCTTTGAATCTCTTACAAATTCCTCAGCAACATGTCATCCATCCCCTTCTGAGAACCATGATACAAAGAAGAAGAAATTTGCAGACATGATTTCTTCAAGGGGGCAGCAGCTGCAGCAGCAGCAGTTAGCCCAGGCCCAAGCACAGGCCCAGGCCCAACTACAGCAGGAGATCCAGCAACAAGCGGCTCTTATTCAGTCCCAGCTTTTCAACCCAGCACTCCTTCAGCACTTTCCTATGGCAACTGAGGCTCTTCTTCCACTGCAGCATCAACAGCTACTCTTCCCATTCTACATCCCTGGGGCTGAGTTTCAGCTGAACCATGAATCTAACCTCAGTGGCACCGCACTTGGTATGGCCAGCTCTTCCACCTCCTCCTTGCTGGAGGACCTGAAGAACTCTGCCCAGCAGAGCCAGGCCCAAAGCTGCCTGCAGCAGCAGCTGATGCACCACCACCTCCAACAGCAGCACCAACAGCAAGCCCACTCACAAGCTCAAGGGCAAATGTCTTTGCTTCAGCAAACTGCGTCTCTTCTGCACCAGGCTGATAAAAAGACAAAACAACATAGTGAGAAGGACAGAGACGGGCAGAGGGAGAAGGAGGTACATGAGAGAACAGAAGATCACATCTCTAAGGACTGCTTGGATAGTATGAAAACTAAAGACAAGAAGGATCAACAGCAACATATTATGAGTGGAAACCATGATCCATCCTTCCCTCCACCTAGAATTGCTTCGGATGCTCGTGGAAATGCCACAAAGGCCCTTTTGGAAAACTTTGGTTTTGAGCTAGTGATCCAATATAATGAGAACAAGCAGAAAGCACAAAAGAAGTCATTGATGGCTGGACCAACAGAGTTAAGTGGTCCAGGCAATATCAGCAGGGTGGTAGATCCCTTGGAGGGACTTGAAAAGTTAGAATGTGAAGCTTGTGGCAAGCTCTTCTCAAACATATTGATACTAAAGAGTCACCAAGAGCATATCCATCAAGCCTTCTTCCCATTTCGTTTCTTAGAAAGATTTGCTAAGGAATATAGGGAACAGTATGATAAACTATATCCTCTGAGGCCACAGACGCCAGAAGCAGCACCTCAACCACCTCCTCCACCGCCTCCACCCCCACCTCAGCGAGCTCCAACACCAAACATTCCTGCCTCCACACCTTCACTCACACCGCCCAGTGTTCCTGCCGCACAGCCCTCAGTTCCCATGACTCCGATTCCCATGCCGATGGATCTTCCACTCTTTTCTCCCCTCATGATGCAGCCTGTGCCTCTCCAGTCTTTGCCTCCACAAATCCCTGCTCAGTTGCCCTCTGTGGAGCCAAGCCTAGCTACTGATTTAGCTCAGCTGTACCAGCAGCAGCTCACACCAGCTATGTTGCAACAGCAGCAGAACAAAAGACCAAGAACACGCATCACAGATGACCAACTTAGAGTCCTACGGCAGTACTTTGATATCAACAACTCTCCAAATGAGGAGCAGATCAAAGAAATGGCTGACAAATCTGGCTTACCCCAAAAAGTCATCAAGCACTGGTTCCGGAACACCCTCTTTAAAGAGCGGCAGAGGAACAAGGATTCTCCCTACAACTTTAACAACCCCCCCACAACCACTTTAGAGGACACCAAAATTGATTCAAAACCACCATCTCCAGAGTCCCAGAAACAAGAGTGTTATGGAAGCAAGAGGTCCTCAAGAACAAGGTTCACTGATTACCAGCTAAGGGTATTGCAAGATTTCTTCGATGCAAATGCATACCCTAAAGATGATGAATTTGAGCAGCTCTCAAACCTGCTTAATCTACCCACACGAGTCATTGTTGTGTGGTTCCAAAATGCCCGACAGAAAGCCAGAAAGAACTATGAGAACCAGGGAGATGGAGGTAAGGAAGGTGAGCGAAGGGAGTTATCTAATGATCGTTATATCCGTACCACTAACCTAAATTATCAATGCAAGAAGTGTAGCTTGGTCTTTCAGCGGATCTTTGACTTAATTAAGCATCAGAAGAAACTGTGCTACAAAGATGAAGATGAGGAAGGGCAGTATGACAGCCAGAATGAAGATTCGCTGGATCTCTCTCATGAATACTATACTCCATCTGGATCATCCTGTCACACCCCAATGCCATCCTCATCCAGCCTCTGCCCACTACCAACATCCACTTCCGCTTTCTCCCACATGACATCCTCTGAAAAGGAAGAGGCCTCACCTGCTAATGCATCAAACTCTTTTGATGAGAAGCCAAAACAAATGAATGAAGCATCCCCTGAATCTCAAGAGAACCAGGTATCTGTTAAGCAGGAACAGCCACAACCTGAAGTACAGCCCCAGCGGCCTCCGCGGGATGAGAAAGCCCAAGCTACCCCAAAGACTTCCAAGTTCTCTCCCTCACCCTCCCAGCAGCAGCAGCAGCATTGTGGTCCTTCTGTGTCCCAAGCTAGCCCTGCTCCTTTACATATGACCCTCAATCCTCTTCTGACCCCTTCCTCACAACAGCAGCAGCAGCAGCAGCTAGCTCAACAGATGATTCCCTACCAGTGCGATCAATGCAAGCTAAGTTTCCCATCCTTTGAACACTGGCAGGAGCACCAGCAGCTTCACTTTCTCACTGTGCAAAACCAGTTCATCCATCCCCAGTTCTTGGAACGCCCCATGGACATGTCCTTCATGTTGTTTGATCCTAGCAATCCTCTGCTCACAAGCCAACTACTTTCAGGAGCCATGCCTCAGATACCAACCAGTTCTGCCACATCTCCCTCAGCACCCACATCTACAATGAATTCCTTAAAGAGGAAGCTAGAAGAAAAAGCCAGCACCAGTCCAGGAGAAAATGATAGCACTAACAGTGGGGAGGAGCCACAACGGGACAAACGGCTCAGAACTACTATTACCCCAGAGCAACTTGAGATTCTATATCAGAAGTATTTATTAGACTCCAACCCAACTCGCAAGATGCTTGACCACATTGCCCATGAGGTGGGCTTGAAGAAAAGAGTTGTGCAGGTGTGGTTTCAGAACACTAGGGCTAGGGAGAGGAAAGGGCAGTTCCGTGCTGTGGGCCCTGCCCAAGCTCACCGTCGCTGTCCTTTTTGTCGAGCTCTCTTCAAGGCAAAGACTGCCCTCGAGGCTCACATTCGATCACGCCACTGGCATGAAGCTAAGCGTGCAGGCTATAATCTGACTTTTTCCAGCATGCTCTCTGACCAAGAGGGAATGCAGTTGAAGATGGACCCTCTTGATATTTCCAGCTATTCACAGCTCACTTCTTCAAATGCTGATGGACAGTGCTCTTCTCTGTCCCCAGTGAGCAAAAGCATGGACTTTTCTCCCCGAGCCCTGCTGAGTCCTACTTCCATTAAAGTGGAAGGAATGGAGGACTTTGAAAGCCCAAACATGTCCTCTGTCAATCTGAATTTTGACCCGAACAAACTGGACAATGATGACTGTTCCTCAGTGAACACAGCCATAACAGACACCACTACTGGTGATGAGGCCAATGTGGATAATGACAGTGCAGACACAAAACATGGCCACAATAGCGGAGACTTTAAGTCAGGGGGCACAGTTCCCTCAGTTGAGAATGACGACCAGATGTCCTCAGGGCTGGTGAGCCCTGCAACAAGTTACATCGCTAAGGACTTTGAAAATGAAACTATGGTAGACTACAGTGAGAACTCTAGTCTCGCGGACCCATGTTCACCAAGTCCTGGAGCATCTGGGAGCAGGAGCATTGACAGTGGAGACCGCCCTGGACAAAAGCGCTTCCGTACCCAGATGACAAATCTCCAGCTAAAGGTACTTAAATCTTGCTTTAATGATTACAGAACTCCTACTATGCTAGAATGTGAGGTACTTGGCAATGACATTGGACTACCTAAAAGAGTAGTCCAAGTATGGTTCCAGAATGCTCGTGCTAAGGAGAAAAAGGCAAAGTTGAGCATGGCCAAACATTTTGGCATCAACCAGACATCTTACGAGGGACCCAAAACGGAGTGCACTTTGTGTGGTATCAAGTACAGCGCCCGGATTTCGGTGCGAGACCATATCTTCTCTCAGCAGCACATCTCCAAAGTGAAGGACACTATTGGGAGCCAACTAGACAAGGAGAAGGAGTACTTTGACCCTGCCACTGTCCGTCAGCTGATGGCCCAGCAGGAAATGGACCGTATCAAGAAAGCCAATGAGGTTCTGGGAATGGCACAGCAGCAAGCCATGCAGCAGCAGGGATTGTTTGACGGCCCTGCCCTGCAGGCTCTGAACCTTTCTTCAGCCTACCCCACTCTGCAAGCAATCCCCTCTGTTCTCCTGCCAGGGGTTGGGAGTCCATCCCTACCAGGTTTTGCTGCCTCAAATACAGGTAGAATAGCCCTGAATTATGACCTTGACAACTGTTTAGTTATTGTTTGATCCTCATTAATGATGGAAAAAGTGTTTTTCTTAACTGGTGCAATTACAGTAAAATGGTGAAGATCTGTGTCTGTATACATGCAATCTGTATTTCAAGTTTGTCTCACAAATTCACCACCATATAGCTTGAAATTTGCAGTTTTTATAAATCTAAAAGCTGAAACCTTTTTTTCTGTTAATGGTGTTAGAGTAATTCCCTTGGATTGACAGTCATACATCATCTATATCATAGCCCTGCGCATTCGCAAACATACTGTGACATTTCATGTGGGACAACTTTGATATCAACAGCTGGAAAGCTACTATCCAGTAGATTTTCCATTCCACCTTAATTCTGAAGAGCCACACCTGTTCCTGGTAGGATAGAAAACCTCGTAGACAGTAGCTTTTTAGGACCGGAGTTTTAGTCCGCTGCTCTCTGTCATTTACTTGAAGGTTTACTGATTTTATAGTGATTGCTTAACACGTTATTGTTGTTTTCTCTGTCTTCTAGCTTTAACGCCTCCAAAACCTACGAACCTCCTGAACATGCCCGGTGCCAGTGCTCCCTCCCCAAGTCTCCCCACTTCTGGATTATCCAACAAGGCCCCTTCCTCCCTGGCTTCGCCCAGCCCCACCCAGGCCAGTACATCCACTTCCCATTCCACGCCAACCTCCATATCCACCTCCACCGCCATAACCACGCAGCTCAGCTCCCGGCCCGAACCCCCCAAAGAACGTGAGGCTGAGAGGTCCAGAGAGAAGGAGAAGGCTAAGGAGAAGTTGGAGAAGCATCCCAATCCCTCGCTGACAGGGAGTACACCGGCACCCTCCACATCTGCTGCCAGTGCTAAAAAGGACAAGCCAGATCCTTCTGTTCCTGCCACCTCCATGCCAACGCCTGGCATGGAGTATGTAGTGGATCCAGCACAGCTTCAGGCCTTGCAGGCTGCCCTAGCTTCAGACCCCACAGCTCTGCTAACCAGTCAGTTCCTTCCCTACTTCATGCCTGGCTTCTCACCTTACTATGCCCCGCAGATACCCGGGGCTCTCCAGGGTGGCTACTTGCAGCCCATGTATGGCATGGAGAGCCTGTTGCCGTACAACCCGGCTTTGTCCCAAGCTCTAATGGGGCTGTCCCAAGGATCCCTGCTCCAGCACTACCAGCAATATCAGCAGAGCCTCCAGGAGGCACTCCATCAGCAGCAGCGGCAGTTTCAGCAGCAGCAGCAGAAGCAGCAGCAGCAGCTCCAGCAACCCAAAGCAAGCCAAACCCCAGCTCAAACCCAGCCCTTTGGAACCCCAGATCGCAAAGACTCTGCCAAAGATTCAACAAAATCTGAAGAACAGAAAGGCGCTCCTTCCTGTGAGGCCTCATCATCATCGTCATCCTCTTCTTCATCCCATAAAAACCCCTCCTCCGAGCAGCACGAGATGGATCGCAAAAGTGCAGACCCCCCCGTTGACCAGTACATCGTCCCTAAGGTGCAGTACTCGCTGGCATGCCGCAAGTGTCAAGCAGTCTTTAGCAAGGAAGAGGCAGCCATCAGCCACTTAAAATCCATCTGCTTTTTTGGTCAGTCTGTGGCAAACCTGCAAGAGATGTTGCTTCGGGTCCCCAGCGGTGGGAGTGCAGGGGAGGGCAGCCTCTACGACTGCCTGGCGTGTGACAGCACGCTGGATGGGGACCGAGCGCTCAGTCAACACCTGGATTCGGCCTTGCACAAACACAGAACAATCAAGCGATCAGCCCGAAATGCCAAAGAGCACGCAACTAATCTATTACCTCACTCTTCAGCCTGCTTCCCCGATCCTGACACCGCATCTACCTCGCAGTCTGCCACTCATCCCAACAGCAGCCCCCCGCCCCCGCCCCCGCCGACATCATCAGCTGCCACGCCGTCCTCCTCCGTCTCTTCATCCTCGTGCTCCTCCTCTTCCTCCTTCACTGCCGCCTCCTGCACCACCGCCCGCCTCCTCCTCCGCCCCCTGCACCGCCTGCCTCCTCCTTCACTGCCGCCTCTCCGCGTACTACAGCCGCTGGCAAAACCTGGCCCCAGGTCCCTTTCTCCAGAGCTTTAGCTGGGAAGCCCAACGCCACTTCCACTATAGCTACCACGTCTTTTGCTCCAGTGTCCTCACCTTCAACGGTTACCTCAAGTTCATTGAGCACCTCAGGGGTTCAGACCTCGATACCAACAGACGTCTTTACCGACGAGTCTGACTCTGACAATAGTCAGAAGTCCGCGGACAGACTGGGCCTCCCGGCTGAAGAGTCGCAGCACCCCAGTTGTCACAAAGACAGTAGTAGTTGTAGTACTAATCTCACTAGCGTAGGAGTGGACTCCATCCGATTGTAAAAGAGCTTTCGACGACGGACAATATTTAAAAAAACCACAAAAGACAAAAAAAAGAAGCGATGTTAAAAAATGTTTAAAGATATACAAACCAATTTCAGAAAAAAAGATGTGTAAAGACTAACTGCAATTCCAAAGCTTGTAACCAAAAATTAAATGTTAGTTGATTGTTTTCCCATATCAACATGCTGGTTTTAGTTTATTTCAGCTCCAGTATATATAGTGTGACATCATTCTCTGCAGCTAAGTTTTGGATGCTTTACAGCAATGGACTGCCTCAAATGTTGTTCTGATGCTCCCCCCGGTCATTGTTGAAAAATGCAAACTTATTTGTATGAATCGTCCCTACTTAATAGCACATAAACAAAAAGCCAGTATGTACTGTATGGGAGAATAGTCTTACATTTACAGTTTTTCTTGCTATCTAAGCGTTCAAATACCAATGGCTTGCTAAAATAATGAAAATAATGTAATGTCTATTTTATTCTCAGGTCAACAGGTCACAACCCCTTTTCTGTTACAGAAATTTGTTTTATACTTTGTTCATTTCTAGCAGAAGAAAAAAAGGTTTTTTTCACTGTTGATTTAACAGGCAGAAAGTATTAAAAAGAGAGAAGATAATATTAAGGCATAGCTTTCTGGGGATTCAAAAAGGGTAGTTGATCTGCTGATTTAAAAAATTTAAAGTCCTTTTAAAGGGGGTAATGAATACTCTCGACTATGCCCAGTCACAGAGAGCATTGCAAACTCGCTGGGGAGGGGGGATTTTTTTAAAAAGAAAAAAAACTTTCTGTATTTATGATAGATATGAAAAATTTTGGTGTTAAGTAGATTGTTGCATTGGAAATGAATTTAAACAGTATGGTAGATTTAAAAACAATAATCTTTGTGTACATTTAGCTTTTGTATTGTCCAACTTAAAGGCGCTTCATTTGATGTTGTCTTGGTCATTCCGATAGATTAGATTAAGGAGCAGCAACTCATCTATATATATTTTCTGTCCTTTCCTCCGCTTCTTGACTTGTGTTCTCCCGACTGCCGCTGGCAGGTTTATTTCCGATGTTTCTTTCCCCCTTATTTATTTCTTGTTGTTTTTTTTTCTTTCATATTTGGTTGACACGAAAGTGACAAATGGAAAAAAAATGTTTTTTGAAACATTGAAGAAATATGTAATCACATTTGTGTTACCTTTGTGCACTTAAGACGGTCTGGTTCCTCTCTCTCTGCCCCTTTGTGTTCCACGCTTCCGTCCTTAACAATCCCCCTCAATGCATTTGTAGATATGGAGAAAGTTATTGCTCCTTCACTACTACAATGTGGACCCTTTGTTTTACATGTAGTGTGGCTGCAGTCTCTTTTCTAAGTTTTATTTTATTTGTTTTTTTTTTCCTTTCTTTTTTCGTCGTAGATGAAAATGAAAAAAGAATAATAATAATAATTCTCACGCTTTAAAACGAAAAAGGAAATCCAAAGACGAAACACTCACCGTTGGTGCATAAAGACGAGAAAAGAGGCTTCTTTATACTTGAGAATTTGTTGCTGTTTTTAAGGATAAGAAAACAGTTTTAAAATAAAGGAGTACACATCAAAGTTGCCGTTTTTGCTTCCTTACAAGCAGACAGGTGACTTTATATGTAAAATAACAAGAATACCAAAAACCAAAAAGGACTTGCGTCCTTGCATTGTGGAGTAGCACCATGACGGAGCCATTGTAGTTTGTAAGATAAAGGTTAAAAAAGCTCTTTGTTTAACTTTTCTGTCACACACAAAAGTCAATTTTTTTAAGGAAATGTATAAGGTCTGGTCTTTGAGGACATAAGTTTTGCTGCTAATGTAGTTTTTGAAAAAAATACCTAGATGCATGCTCATTTTGCTTTTTGGCTAAGCTTTAACAGAAACAATAAACCATTTTTTCCTGCCTCTGCTATTTTTTTTCTTTGTGCAAAAACGGAACTTTGAAGACTGTGAATATATGTTCCAAAGGACAGTTTGGCTGACTTATTTTTTAATTTTGTTTTGAACAGACCAATGTCAAAAGCCAATGATCTATATTATTTGTACAGAACAGTGCATTCCAAATACCACATTGAAAGTTATTTTCCCCTTTTTCAGAGCAAGGACTGATTATTTTATTGATTTTAATTACATTTTTATTCTGTTTTCTTCACGTTGACTGTAAGCTGTTGTCTCAGTTTGAAATTGTGGGTTGCAAAACAAATGGACTCTTGGACTTCCTTCATGATAGTTCTGGTTGGGGGGGGTTCCCCCCCACCCGGACGGGAAAGGTCGTTGCTCACTTGAAATCGTAATAGTGGTCACCAAAACGTGTTTGTAACACCCATTTTGTTCTGACTTTGTCTGTTTTCATGAGTTGTTCGGTGTCACCGCGACTTCGTTTCCTCCACGCTGAGAAAGCAGCGAGAGGCTATAGGGCAGTTGGATCTGGAGCTGCAGTCTCCTGTCACGCAAAGAGGTGAACGGGCGCGATCCGCGTATCGCGGGGGAAACACGCGCCCGCACACGCTGTCGTCCAGGAGTGTCGTCATTCCTGACATCAAAAAATAGGGGAAATTGGAAGATTTTCCTCTAAGAATAAATAGAGCTATTTCCTATGCCTTTGTATCCAAAGAGGTTGCTTGCTCCTCCCGTTTACAGTTACAGTACTCTCATCGTTTATAACGCCCCCCCCACACCACTAAATAAAAATATAAATGAAAACAAATCTCTAACACCAAAGCGAAGGTGTGTTTAATTCGCCGAGACTGCTTTTTTTGACCCCCCCATGTATAGCTTTTTGCTAAGGTAAAATGTTGCAGCCCGTTGGAAGGTGTGTTTGAAAGTGTTACGTCAAGCTGAGCGATGCAATTCGGTGTTACTTCCTGCAACCATGGATATCACACTGGTCTGATCTGTAGAGATTTCCACTTAAATCAGTTTCTTTACGATATTGTTGATACACTTATTTTTTTATTAATTCTGATGCTGTACAGTTTACTCTGAATGCTATTGCTTTATTTTGGTTTCCAGGTAATGTCAAATAATGACATTATTTTCATATAGCTTTGTATGTTATTTCGGTTTCTGTATATTATTTTCCCATATAAATTAACATTTAACACTAGCTTCTATTTTTTTTTTTTTTTTACCTTTATGTTATGACCTGGCCACTTTATGGTGTAATATTGTTCCTGTATTTGTTTTTTCAACACTGTTCCATTCATATTTTTAAAGTGTATTTTGTTTGGGCTCTTCAGAAGAATAGCCAGTTCAAGATTTTCAGATTATACTTGGTCAGCATGGACATGTGTGTGTGTGTGTGTGTCTGTGTGTGTGTGTCTGTGTCTGTGTGTGTGCGCGTTTAAGAGCCAGCATTTGTTTTTTATTCTATTTTATTATAATTATTTTATTTCATACTATTTCAAGCACCAGAAGTACTGAACTGCAGAGCTGGATTAAAAAAACAGCAGGATAGTGTTTGCTAAGATATTAAAGGCATACAGTAGGTTGTCATACTATGGAAGATAGTGACTACAAAGCACTGAGTATTTTCTGTTCTAATTAAGTGTATGAATGTGGCCAAAAGCTTATGCAGTTGTTAGCAAAACAGAAGCCTAAAGCCGTTTCCCTTCGCATCTAATTGTGACAGAACTACAGAAAGGCATTGGAAATGGGGGAAGCATCAGCGCTTATTGACATACTTGAGTCTGACGGACATCTTTACAAAGGAAGAAAAACAAGGTATTGCAGTAGAGGTCATCTTTCTGCCCACTGTGAAAATAAACGTATATACAGATATATATTAAAAAAAGACATCTTTTTTGTTTATAAGAAAATAAAAGGAATTTGGACTTTCTGCCAAACGGGAAGGCTATCTCGTGGTGTTGGGTACAGCGGAGAAGCCTTCAGCAGGTTATGGCTGCCCTTTTGTCAAGCTCACTGCTGGGCGGAAGGCGAACTCCATCATGGGGGTGTGGACTATGGAAATGGAGAGAGATCTGAAAAAGCTGGACTCTAGTAGCTGGAGCCGGCCCTCCTCTCCCCCGTCCCACTCCCATGCTGCGTCCACGCTCCAAACCAAACTGGATGGGTGACGGAACATTCACTGCTACTTCCCCAGTCTGTAACACTGCAGCCTGTTCTCCCTCCCCTGTTCCTTCTTTTGCCTGTCCCACTGATTGACAGGCAGCACCGTCCAATCACATAGCAGCTGACTCTCTTCTCATGGAGTCGACCAGTCTCTTTGCGGCGTAGAGACACGTCCTGGAATAAGGGGGAGGGGTTTTCATAGGCTGTCATTCCAAATGAAGCGGTTTCAAAAAAAAAAAAAAAAAAAAAACAAAAACAAACAAAGCAACACAACCAAAATTAACAACCAAACTAGAAAAAAAAAACAACCAAACCATTTTCTCTAATTTCAGAGGTAAACTGTTACATGGATCCCCAGATCCTCTTATTTCTCCTGGTGCCACAATATTTTTTAAGGCATTTTCTTCGGTTTAATTTTTCTGTTTGGTTTCTTGAATTTCACTCCTCTGTGGAGTGCCTCATGGATGGCTCTCTGGCTATAGTCAGCCCACCTGAGGGTAGAAAATACAGCCTTGCAATGTACAAAAAAAAGAGCAAGTTAAACCAAAAATGTTGTTCTTGATGTCTTTTCTATACTGTAGTCTTGTTAGCTTTTTTTTGTTACTGTAATTATATGATGAAGATTTCCAAACTGTACCAAATGACATGGAGACTAACATACAAAAACCACATGGAACTTCAGACTTTTAAAGAGAAACCTTTTGTCACAAAACCTTGTTGTCCTAGTTAAGTTGATTGTAGATGGTAATTGAATATAATCCTTTGAAAATATTTCATCAAGTATGTTTCTTGCTCATTGTGATACATTAAAAAAGTATGAGCAAACCAGATCAGTGGTCGTTTCATTTTTCTTGGAAAAGTGTTTCTGTGCAAAGATGCTTGATTCCACAGTCATTACATATGACACCCAAATCTAAATTTACTGTATCTAATCAGGTGCGGTAGGAATTCGGGGTTTGTTATCTGTTTCACGTTAAATTTGTTTGGAAGTAGGTTGGGATATTGAGTGTTATCATCCATGTCTCAAGTGGAGATGCTGTTTATTGTAACCTCACAGCCTCATCTCTCAGTAACCTGTTCTTAAGATACACAGATGAGACAAATGGTGATAACTCATTAAGGAGGCTCTGGTGATGCACTGCAACTGCCTAATTTCACAGAGTTTCTGCTGAGGGCCTTAAAGCTGTCCTCTGACCAATTTTTTTGTAGCATTTCATAGGCTTTCAATATTTTGATTGTGGAATAAATTTATACGCAATTTTCTAGCACCACAAATATAAAGTGATTCTCTATCAATATCTTTTTTGCCACTCTTTTGTACACTAAAAAAATAAAATAAGCTGTATCAATTTATACAATCACTTACTAACCCTTTCTAAGCAGTCATATTTTGCCAGTTCTTAGTATGCTTCAATTACTGGGCTAATTAAAGTGGATTAAGTAATGAATGAGCGATAACAGTTAATGAGAAGTGGCTGTTTCTGACCGATTAAAACAGCGAGAAATATTCGTCGGGTACACAAATACTGTCCTTCAATTCCTGTTGACTTATGAAGAAAATGCTTAATTACTTGTATTTGAAGTGTTTTCTTAATTCTCATTGGAAGGCTGAGTTTGTGTTCTGGCCGCCTTTGCGTGTTTGTGTGTGTATGTGGTGCCTAGTAGGTGGAGGTATGGGTGATAATCTAGCATCATGAGATACGATGTGTGCCCCCCCCCCACCCCGCAGCTGCACACCCTCTGAGACTGTGGCCCCTACAAAGGGCCATGAAACAACAGCTGAAGTTGTTTTTACTTCACTTTCCATAGATTTGAGGTCCAAAATCATGCCTTTTTCAGTAATTTAACTTTGAGAACATCAGACGGAACAAATATTTGTGGCACAATGAGATTTTTGTTTTCCTCTGCATTGTCTTTGACCTGTTAGGTGGTTTCCAGACATTCATAGCTGGATTCCCTTCAAAAGTTATGGAATGGTTTTTCACGCGATTGTTCACATCCTACCCAGTACTTCTCTGTTTGGGCTTTGGTTGCAGTTCTTGTTTGTAATGATTCTCATTAGGTTGTTAGGTTGTTTACCCCTCGAGTTATTTTGACTATGACTTGGTCAGCTCCTTCCTACATGCTTAGCGATCATTTGAGGCGATATCATTCTAACACGTGATGACAACCCCCCCCCCCCCCAAAAAAAAAGAAAAAGAAGCTCTTTTGAAAAACCTGACAGAAATAACAAAGTGGGGAGGGGTTAAGTTGGCAAAGCACCCCCCCCCCCCCCAACATGATTCCTGAAAGCGGGAACAGCGCAGCCTACTGTTCTTCTTTTGATGTTACCATTAATAAAGAATTTTGCTGCTAGGAACTGGCTCCTAACCTCCTGCTGGCTCTTCATATGCAGCCGGTCAGACTCCTGTTTGATTGCATTAAAGACGAGTGAAGACAAGAAGCTCCATCCTCCTCTTACTCCCAATCTTAGTCACTAGATGCATATTTTATTTATTCATTTTTCTTCATTGCGGTTGCGTGCAGCTCAGTGGGGCAGGATGCTGTGCCCATAACCAAGCTTCAGACCTTGTGGTTGGCATGGTGATGTCACCGTTGGAGCTGAGTAAGCCCCTTAACCCCAGTTGCCCCAAGGACTGCCTGACCCTTCTTTCTCAATTATATATCACTTTGGATAAAAGTGTCTGGTAAAAAAAATAAATGTATGTGTAACTCAACTTTCTGCAATTATGATAAATCTGGCGGTCTGAAATGACACTGCATTGATGAATGAGCTTTCTTTATTTATTTTTCTCCAAGATTTGTCCGAGTGCACAAAATGTGTCCGACTGGCATCGGAGAATACGAGAGCACCCTGCGATGAACTGGTGTCCTCTCCAGAGTGTAACCCTGATCTGTGCCCTTTGCTCTGTGCTGTCTGGGACTGACTCCAGGAACCCGCCTCAACCCTGTGCAGGAAAAGCAGCTGGAAAATGGATGACTGGCTGGATGGATTAGAGTACAAAGCCTCTGCTGTACCCAAACGGATCAGCATATCCGTCTTTATCCCATCTACTAACCTCTCTGTTCCGCATCCCCACAAAATGTACTGAAGTGTTACACCTTATCCGTCTCCTGGAAAATGAGTGTGAAAACGTGTTGGGGGAGGGGCGGGAGCATGCGGCCGCACCTCCAGACACATTTCCAGCAGCTTTAGATCAGTCGCCTTCAGATGGTTTACATCACTGTTCCTGTTTCCAATATTGTCCGCCTGCGGAGCCGGAGCCGGCGGTGGCGCCGTGTGCCCGTGTGGCGGGAGGTGCTGTTTGCAAACAGCCCGTCGTGTGTGGGGGTGGCCCCAGTCGGGGGCCACGCTTTGGCGTTGGCAAAGCCTCCCCGGGGGCCGCCCTGGTGGGAGCAGGGAGACACATTTGCCGTCCATGCTGAGCCAATTAACACGCCGGCCAGCCCGTCTCGAATGAATTAAGCACGGCCTAATCGGATCAACGTGAGAAGCCCGGCCTGCTTCCTCCCCGCCCCCTACCAGATGGCACCCACCCTCGGCCGGCACTTTGTGCCAGCCCCAGTCAAAGAGTGTGAAATTGGGGTTAGAGCCTGAGAGTGACACTAGCCTTCAGTGAAGGGGGGGCCCTATTCAGCTCCCCTGGCCTGAAGGCGGAAGGACCACCTTTTAAATATGGGGGGGCTGTATCTAATTATACCCCCACCCCTATTCCCCCTCAATCAGATAGGCCACGCTCATTGAGGGGCCCATCAGAGTCTCAGCTTCAGGCCTCCCCAGGCCGGTCTCCGGCTCGCCCTAAAGGTCACACGCTCGCCGTCCTCTTTCATTTGCTGTCCTGCTAAAGGCGACGTCGTCTGGCACCGGCAGGCCCCATTTGAGCCGGAACGTTCCGGCAGGGCAGTTGCGTCCAGTGTTTAGTCCCAGAAGCCCACCAAATTGGTTCTGCATCCCACTTCTGGCATCATGTCAGACCCCGGGGACCTACGGACCGATAAACATGGCTTAACTGTCTTCGGTAAGCTTCTGAGAAAACACGTTGTTGTGTTTTGTTTGTTCGGGTTTGCCGTTGGTGCAGCTGCCCGGTGCAGCAAGGCCAGACACTACAATACCAAAGACGCAATGTTAGAGAATCCAGAGAGACCTTCAGCCCTGCCAGGTACCATCCAGACAGCATTCCAGTTCGCATTTAAGCAGGTCACGCTTTTCACAGCTTTCGAGTTCCCATTCTTACTGATAAGAAAGCTGGGAAATCAAGTCCAGTTAAGTCAAGAAGTCGCCTTCACATCTTTACTTAGTTACTAACTATCACCCAGTGAAGAAGACAAATACAGCGCTTATATTACAAAAAACAGCTGGACATCTGGGAAATGGTCACTATTTATTTTCGTTTTATTGTCTTGGATGAAATATGCTAGTGAATTGTGGTGAATCCATCTGAGAACGCTGAGCCCTCAGTGAGGCCTCTTCACGTCCTTTGCACTTGATCCACTGGACTTAACTAATGCCCGGAGAGTAAAATTGGGCACATTTTTTGACAAGGTTCTTATATAGGGGAAAATGTCCTCCTCATTTCATGTACGCACTTCCAGCTCCTCCATCCACTGTTGACACTCTCCTCTCCATTGGGGTCAACACTAAATTATAGCCAAGCTACAAGGACCGGTCCGACTAATTCGGTCTTATCTGGCAGGGAAAATGATGGGCGAGGGGGATTCAGAGAGAGTGAGCAGAATGAGAATCGAAACAGAAGAGATGAGATCCCCCCCCCCTCCCCCGCCTTGAATTTAATGCCAGTTGAAGCCTCATTTGAAAAGCAGCTCAAGTTGTTTATGGAGATAAATAATGTTACCAGTGGGGAGAAGTAGCTCAACCTGTTACTACCCCAACCTTAAGCATCAATGAGGGGCAACATATTACATGCCAGGGGCAACCAGGGTGCCATGGCATCTCATTGACATGGTTCTCCTTCACTGGGTAGGCAGTCCATCATCATATTGCATTGTGGGAAACCAGGATGGTTGCTTTGAGATGCTGAGAGGAAACTCAGACATGACGAAGCTCCAGGATCCTAGAGTAACACCAGCTGACCGAAACAATGGCTGAGATGGGGCCAGACCTCCTGGCCTATCCTCCACTGGAACATCAAAAATCTTATTTCAAGAAACACGTAACAAGAACCATGGCACTGGGAATTAATTTGAAGCAAATATGAGGACTGTATGAATGGCCTGGTATGGAACAGGTCCTCCATTATGAAACATAAGCTAATTCGCGATTGGCTCGCCGACCCGTGTCTCCGTTTCCAGTGTCAGTCGCTGCTGCATTTGACGGGTCTATCACCTGCCCTGGAACCGTAGGGTGGCCCCACAAAGCCACCTTTCTCCCACCCAGTGTGCCTCGGGGACGGTGGGGAGTAATATTTGGCAGGCTCTGGCCCTCAGCGGCATGTTCACCCCCCCCCCCCAGACACAGGATCAGGTGTCGCAGTATTCCCAGCACCTTCTGGTTCTAGTTAATCGGAAATGAAGTCCATCAAAAGGACTCTGACCAAAACCAAGCAAAAATCGGGCCTGACAGGCAGGAATCTTAACCGCTGACGGCAGCCAATAATTGAGTGATCGGCTTTCCCTCCCCTGCATAATGAAGAGAATATGTGTTGGGAATGTAGTCGTCCGTTTTCCATCTTTTTTTTTTTTATACTCTTTCCCTTCATCCCTCTTTTTTCTCCATTGTCCCCTTACCAATCACAAATTTAGTAAACAAGCAGTGCGCTTCAAAGTTACTCTGTGGCCTTTAGGTGTCATGTTTATGTATATGGCAGATGCT